CAACCAATAAAGTTACAATTATTAATCTTAGTTATTTATTATTTAATTATATAATATTAATAAATTGAATTAACTATACCTGGTGATTTAATTTATGAATAAATTTATTATTCACTGGTTATTGGAATTTTCACATTAGTTTTTTATAAGAAAGTGTTATATGGTGAACAAACACCTCATTATTATCAAAAAAAATTTCTAAAATATTACTGATATCTGTTTTAAATTAAAGTAAACCCTCCTTGTAATTTGACTTGATTGAAGTGACCTATCATCATGCCTCTTATCATTTATTTATTATTTTATTTATTTAATTCATAAACATACTTGCCAGGGTTATAAATTGGTGTTGGAGCAACTTTTACCTGCCATCTACAAAAAGGATCATTGTTCAAATATCAATATAAAAAATTTTTGGTTCAGAAAAACACCAAGTTTAGAAAGTATTTATGCAGATCTACTGTATTATTTGGTAATACTAACACTAATCAGGGAAGGTCTTTGTACAAACGAACCTTCAAATTTTTGACTCCTTTCACAAAAATAAAACAAAATTAAAGTTTTGGATAATACGTAAATCTATTTGATTATATTCCATTTTTATTTAACAATAATACATAATAAATAAATACAATATATATTAACATAAAATAAATAAAATAAACAAACAAAATTAAAATTATAATGAAACGAACCAAAGAAGTTCGTAATCGTTTTATTCAATCACAACAAAAACAACAACTTCTCACACCAGTAGCATCACCACAACCACAGCAACAACAACAAGCAATAATAAAAGAGTTAGCGACAGCACCAGCAACATTATTACTAAATGTTAATAAGAATGGAGAAGTAAACAATGCTTGGGATGCAGCAAGCGGTGTTCATGGCGACGCTTTTAAAAGCTCTATTTCTACTAATACGAATAATCAAAATAATATTTTTGATGTAAATAATGATAATTCTAATTTTGCATTTCGCAATAATAATGAAACTAATTCGGATGAAAGAGATGAAGAAATACCAGATGAAGTGGATGATATAATTGTTCATTTGATTAAATCACCAGGTATAGTTAATTCAATTTATTAATATTATATAATTAAATAATAAATAACTAAGATTAATAATTGTAACTTTATTGGTTGAGAAAGATTGTAAAATTCAATAATCTACTTGTATAAACAACGTTTGGATGAACAATGGTTGTAATTGCTGAAGAATTAAAGGGCCTTTTATCTGATTCATCAGACATTGTTCTCATTTTTTCTAATCCATCAAGCTATTCTCCAGAATAATTAGGACTATTTGATCAATATGCATCAACTGCTATTACTATTAATTTTTTTTCAGGATCAGCATCTGTGTATTTGTATACTAACTTAATATAACACCTTGTTTTTTTTTCTGTTGGATGTTTCTCCATTTTCATTTGCAATTTCTTCAGCAAACCTTGATTTACCTACTCCAGTATTATCAGTAAATGTAATGATTGTAGTTTCGAAATTTCTTTTCTCTGGCAAGAATCTATCATTAACAAATCTAAGCATTGACATTTGATTCTCTTCCATTCATTCAATAAATTGTTGTTTATTATTAGATGTTTTAACTATCACTTTTATTGTTGTTGTTGCAAGTTCAATATTAGTATTATAATAAACATTTTCATCTTCTTTAAAAATATTCTTTAACATTTGCTTTAGTTTTTGAAGTATTAATATTTGGATGAAGTATATCAATGTAAAAGGCTCCTTCATCTCTAACAATGAAGACGTTTTATTTCCATTTTGATGAGATAAATGAGAGTGTGCATATTACATTCACTTGAGTAATCTGAAATGAACTGTTATTACACAGTACATTGATCTAGAACAAAAGCACAAAAAAGTTTGATTAACAAAGTGTATATTTATTGATAGCATAATAAAAAAATTTATTTATAATGTTATAAACATCTTCTCTTTCTAAGCAACATTGAGGATAAGTCAAATAAATTTTTTTTTTTGATTGAAATATCAATTTTTGTTAATATTACCAAAAAAGTTGACTCTTTTGACACTCAATTTAATTTGGAATTTACAAGAAATTCTTTAAGACTTGAGCTACATTCCCATCAGTTTATTATTATTATTATCATAGAAGTTTGCAGAGCTACTGGGTTTCAAAGCTAGGAGTGATGATCTTTGAATACACATTGCTCTCCAACTGAAAAAAGCAAACTTGTGGAAATGAAGTCTATGACCTAGGCTTCGTTTTTCATCGGTTATTTTTTTCATTATTATGGAGGCTCATAGTTTAAACGTTGATAAAAATCCACCAATAAAATTGTGGATAATGATATTTTTATTTTGTGCAACAAATAAAATAAAATAAAAGTTAATAATGGTTTTACCACTTGAGCTTTTAACTGAAATATTTAAATACAATGAGGATGATTATAAAACGTTATATTCTTGCGTTCTTATCAATAAACAATGGCACAATGCCAGCATTCCAATTTTATGGAAAAATCCGTTTTATTTTAAAAAGAGCACCAAAATAATGATCAATTGTTTATTAGAAGAAGATAAGGATTTCTTGATTAGAAATAGGATTGGATTAACTTTTACACTGTTGAAGAAACCCCCGTTATATAATTATGCTAAATTTTGTACTAGACTTTATTTTATTGATAGTCATAATTTCCAAAAGCTGATAAAAACTTCTGGATTAAATATTTTCCAAAATAGATTAATAAAATTTATTTTAGATCATTCAGCAATTATCAGAGAATTTAACACTGCTAATATAAATTGTGATTGGATAAATAGTTATCATAGATTTGATAATAGCTTTCAAAAGCTTAATAAATTATATTGTAAATTTACATATGACAGTGAATTTATTGATAGATTAGCAACCATTTGCAAATGTATTCAATCATTAAAAATATATTTTGATAAATACAACAGTAAATTTGAAGATAGTCTGACTCAACTAATTAGAGCACAAAATCAAATAAAGCAATTAGTCATTAGAACAAATAGTAATTTGACTTTAACAGATAATTTCAAACAAGCAATTCTCACACATTCACAATCAATAATTCATTATTCAAGCAGAGAAGAAAATAATATAGATCATATATTATTGCCAACCCTATACAATTTAAAGACTTTATCATTAACATCAACTGCTTCATCTGCTACTGATAACAAAATAAAATGGTTGAAAAATATTTCATTGCCAAATATTGAATCTGTGAGGTTATGTATTTATTATCAACCATTTCTATCAAACTTGTCTAATTTTATTAACATTAATGGAAAAACTCTTAAACATCTATATCTTAGTGGTATTCCAAATGATGGAAATCTTTTGAGACAGCTATTTCAATCAATTTCACAATGCTGTGAAAATCTAGTAGATTTATCAATATTTTATAAGGATCAAGTATATCAAGAATTAATAGAAATATTCAATAATTGTATTAAATTAGAAAGTATTCAATTTAAAAAACT